CACGACGTTTTTATATACGTTCTTTGAGGGTCGAGTGAGCCCTCTTGACAAAAGTCCATTCATCCGTCGTTATTTTAGCAGAGATATGAGTGATTGGTTGTTGAGACAACTGAACCACTCGATGTCTCCTCGACTCTAGGTCCGCATGATAACGAACCCCGTCGGTTTGTTCCAACGCCTTAGCCATTTGGCGAGCGCGGCGTTGGCGTTGTCTCTGACGAGCTCTTTTCGTCAATGTCGGTGGGCTTTGATTTAATGACTCTTTACTTGGCGAAGAGCCATTATGAGCAGAGAGGTTGTGAGTAGAATCCTCAGCAACAATCAGGCGAGAGTCTTCATTCTGTGCCTTCTTTGGCATGGAAGTCTTCTTCAATGGTGAGATCCTCTTGTACTTGCGAGACAATGAAGATCTTGAAGAGGATGATGAGAGATATTCCTCAAACTTGGTTTGGTCGAATTCGTATTCGACCATGGATTCAACTGGAATCTTGATCGGCTGCGACACGACGGTCTCGGCAGCGAGACCGTTGGCTCCCACTGTGGTCGCCAGTTTGTTTGCGTCAAAAGTTGATCTTGCTGTGGAATTCATTATATCTTCGATCGATTATAATAAATTCAAAGGAATAGTCTTTTTATAAGACCTTTTTTACACAACAAAATGAAAATTACAACTCTTGAGAAACAAACGCAGGATCGTTGTTTGGATCGCTGCTTGCGTGGGATCTTTGCCTGTGCCGGGAGCGCTTTGACTCGTGGACCATCAAATCACAGATTCTGATTGAATCATGAGGGGTTTAATGATTCTTTCTTCGTTTATCGAAGTGGGAATTTGAAACGATATCTTATCAAAGTAAGATAGTCGTTCTTCTTAAGATCAAGTCAAAGCTCGAATCTCAAGGAATTGCCAGATGCTCCAGAACTCTGCTCTCTCTGCTCTGAAATCAGTCTGGAAATATGCTCGATGATCAGCCTCCTCAAACAATGATCTCAGGGGTGTATTTATAGCCCCTATGAACAGTTATGCTCGCGAGACAGCATTTGCTGTCTCGGCTACCGAGACAGTGTTTGCTTTCGTTGGTGCGTAAGATGTCGGGGAAAGAAGGTGCTTCGGGTGTCGAGGGTGGTTCTTCTGGCGCGAAGACCATTCAGAGTTTGAATATCCACTCTATGAAGATAGATGTGGAGAAATTTAATGGCACAAACAACTTTGGATTATGGAGATGCGAGGTTTTGGATGCGCTGAACGCGCAGAATTTGGAGGATACCTTGGAGTTAGATGGCAAGCCAGATGAGATTGAAGAGAAGGTTTGGAAAAAGATGAATCGAACGGCGTGTGGTGTGATTAGGTCTTGTTTGACTCAAGATCTAAAATATGATGTGATGAATGAGACTTCTGCGAAGAAGATTTGGGAGATTCTCGAAAGCAAGTATTTGACCAAGAGTGTGGAAAATCGCTTGCATTTGAAAAGGAGGCTTTATCGTTTCCAATTGAAGAAGGGAACCTCCATTAGAGATCACATGAACCACTACACGAAGCTTCTTGCTGATTTGGCGAATGTGGATGTTATAATTGAAGATGAGGACAAGGCGTTGTTGCTATTGAGTTCCTTGCCCGACGTGGAATATGAGACCTTCGTCCTTACTCTTATTAATGGGAAGGCATCCCTTTCGTATAGTGAGGTCACTGCTGCATTGGTGAATTATCAGCTTCGGAAGAAGGATAAGGAGAATTCGACTGAGTCGGTAGCAGAGGCGTTGGTTGCAAGAGGGAAGAATCCGAACCGAAAGAATTAGAAGTCACAGTCTAGAGTAGGAAAAGATCAGTGTGCTTGGTGCAAGGAGACTGATCATTGGAAGAAAGACTGCCCAAAGCTCGACGAATTGATGAAGAATAAGCAGAAGGGAAAAGGGATGTAACCATCATCAGAAGCAAACATCGTATCGGATGGTAATATTTCTGACTCTTCTATTTATTCGCTTTCTATCAGTCCTACAGATAGCTATTCGGAGGAATCTGAATGGATGTTGGATAGTGGTGCAACCTATCATGTGTGTCCTAGAAGGGAATGGTTCTCCAGTTTTGAGAAGCTGGTGAATAGTGATGTGGTGTACATGGCTGATAACCATGCATGCCAGATCCTTGGGATAGGAAGAATTCGCATAAAAATGTTTGACGGGACTGTTAGAGAGTTAAACGATGTGAGATATGTTCCTTCTTTGAGGAAGAACTTGATCTCGATTGTAGCTTTGGTTGAAGAGGGTCTGAAGGTTCGTGTTGAGGACATGGTTCTCGAGGCTGCGAGAGACTCTCGTATTTTGATGAAGGGCGTCAGGAGGAATAACCTGTATTACTTGACTGGAGGTATAGTGGCAGGTGGAGAGCTGACAACTTCTGTTGATTTGACTAGATTGCGGTATTTGGGGCTTGGCCATTCCAGTATTGATTCCTCGCATAGATTGAAAGAGGGTGCGAAGACCTGCAGTTTGAAGTCCAGTGAACATGTTGATGTGAGCAAGAAGATCGAGGTGAAGTGTGGCACCTCTATTCACTGTGCTAATGGTCGTTCTAAATGAGTTCACGTGGATGTTTGGGGGCCTTCCAAGGGGGCATCATTGGGAGGTAATAGGCGTTTGGTTTCCTTTGTTGGTGACTGTTCTAGGCGTGTTTGGGTTGCAACCAAATCCCCTTTGGAGAAAGTCCTAGTAGTATCCAACAGATTGAAGAAGTGTGTGATAGACAGAAAGGTGAAGGTACTCCATTCTGGTGGTAGGTACAAGATGGACCTGTTTCTGCATTGGAGCCGAGCTCAAGGCATTTCGAGACACTTCGTTGGAAAGGAAATCTTGGGGCAACTAGATAAGGTGACAAATTTGGAGAACCGTGTTTTGCTGGAGGAGGATCGGTGTTTGTGGTCGAGCAATGGTTTGCAGAAGAGTTTCTGGACTGTGGCTTCGACATACTTGGGTCATCCTATTAAAGAGTTGTCAACTGTTGCGATTAGAGGTAAAACTCCATTGGAAGATAGGTCTGGTAGCACTTTGGTTGAGGCTTCGATGAGGAAGCCAATTGACTCTCAGCAGGTGAAGAGTTTTGGACAGACCTTGAGGCTTCGATGAGGAAGCCAATTGACTCTCAGCAGGTGAAGAGTTTTGGACAGACCTTAGAGGTATCGTAGTGGGTGGAGATTGATGCTACTCCACATTGGGTGGAGATTTTCCCACATACTCCAGGTCATTCTGCATTGGTTGGGATTCCAGCTGAGGTGACACAGCGTGGGAGTCATTTGGATTTATGTGCAGATGATGAGTTGGGTTTTGAATCAAGTGCAGCTGGCAGACATAGTTTGGATATGACCATTGGTTCGCCTCAGGTGGAGGTGTTTGAGGCCATTGGAGGTGCTATCAGCCACATAGTTAATGATATTGGAGAAGGGTTGCGAACTCTTCTATTGGATTGATGTCGTTAGCGGCCATTTGGGTGAACTACGTTCGGCTTGATTCCTTGGGCAAGAGGATACGTAGGCAGTCTTTCAGATGCAGCCGTTTTTGGATTAGTTGATTTTGATGGGGGTGAGATTGTTGGGACTCTCGTTCGGGTTCTCGACTTGTTGTGGATTGAGTTCTTACTAGTCACAACAAGTGGGACATTTGGATGCTTTGGTGTCGGCTCAGTTTTGGGAAAACTTCACCGAGGTGGAGAATTGTGAACCGCAATTATGTGGGGGTCACGTGGGGGCTACAAACAATAGCAAAGCCGCGTGAGATTCATGTGTGGTTTTCTTTTGTTGCGTGAAGGGACACGAACACGAAGGCCCACGAACGAAGGCCCACGAAATCATAATATTCTGCAGCTATATATAACATGTGAGGGGCTAGGTTTCTGTGAGCGCAAGGCAGGGGCAATCATGGGTGCATGTGCAAGCCGGCAGAGGAGAAAATTTCGCCAATTGCAGAGGGAGAAAACAAGTGCACGGAGCTTTGTTTTGCGGCTGCAGTTGAGGAGATTTTGTGTAGTCTCTTTTAGAGTTTAGTGCATCCCTTTGAGAGGTATTTGTGTGAGGGATCTGAGAGTTTGTGAAAAAGTTTAGATTTGAGATATTGTAA